GGTGTGGTCTTCTGCTGCTGTAGCCCATCCGCCTCAAAGTTGTACATGTTGTGTGTTCAGAGATACTCGTCTCGGTTGTAACCAGTGGTTATTTGAGTTACTGTTGCCTTTCTATCACCTGGAACCAGTCTGGCCATTCCCCTCGGATATCTACAAGGCATTTGCGCACACAGAACTCCCAGTTACTGGATATTTTCCGGACCATTCTCTGTAAACCCTAGAGATGGTTGTGCCTGAAAATCCCAGTAGATCAGCAGTTTCTGAAATACTCAGACCAGACCATCCGGCACCAACAATCATGCCACGTTCAAAATCACCTTTCTTCCCCATTCTGATGCTCGGTTTGAACTGCAGCAGATCGTCGTGACCATGTCTACATGCCTAAATGCATTGAGTTGCTGCCATGTGATTGGCTGATTAGAAATTTTCGCAAGTAGTTGGACAGGTGTACCTAATAAAGTGGCAATGAGTGTATATATATAATGTAAAAGGAATGATGGAACTGATTGGTCACAGTTTTGATCTCAAAATTGCTTAAAAAACAAACAAACTTAATTAAATGAATTGCTTAAAAATAATAACAAAAAAGTAGATGAGAATTAGTATTGTCATGATACTGGAATTCGATACCAATCGATGCTGAAATTTTTCCTGCCAACATTTGAGCGCTGTTGAGTGCGGTCTTAAACAACGCTGATTTGTCGTTGTTTTCAGGTGCTCAACAGAAATGACTGGCCGTAAAGGTCATCGGTTTTCATCTGTATTCACGATTATTCAAAACGATTATCAGTTAAAGTCAAAATTATTCGCCCTCTTGTGAATTATTTTTTTTTTTATAAATATTTCCCAAATTATCAACAAGAATCAGTCCAAGGCACAAATAATATAAAAATAATATGTATCAAATAATATAAATAATTCTATGCCGAATTTATGATGATAGTAGACTTTTGCTTGTTAAATTATTTGAGTGCCATTTGAGATGTTTAAATGAGTCATGTGACCGTAGTACTCAAAAGAGACTCTAGACGCACCTGATCACTGTTACCCTGATGAAGGCAGACTCCTGCCGAAACGCGTAGGTTTTTAGAGATTTAGCCATGTCAAGAAAGGCTTTTTAAATTTTTCACTTTTTTCGAGTGCCTTGGACTGATTCTTGTTGCTGTTTTGATGAATCCCTAACCCAAAGAGCACTGACCATACATTTGAGCTTACCCCAGAGCGCTTTTTGTTTGTTTTTTTCTGGATTAATTTCCCAAATTATGTTTAAACAGATAATTGAATTAAAGGATTTTTTCACAGTATTTCCTATAATATTTTTTCTTCTGGAGAAAGGCCCATTTGTTTTATTTTGGCTAGAATAAAAGAAGTTTTAAATATTTTGAAACCTATTTTAAGGTCAATATTATAAGCCCCCTTAAGCAATATATTTATGTTTGATTGTCTGCAGAAGAAACTACTGTTACACAATGGCTTGCCTAATTATCCTAATTAAGCCTTTGAATCGCATTTTAATCTGAATGCTTGTATTTTGAAGATTATCTACTAAAATTCTATGTGGTTTCATCATGGCAAAGATAAAATAAATCAGTTACTAGAAATGAGGTATTAAATCTATTATGTTTAGACATGGGCTGAAAAAAAATCTCTCCATTAAACAGAAATTAGGGGGAAACGGTCGCTAATAATTCAGGAGGGCTAATAATTCTGACTTCAACTGTAGTTATTTTCCCCCCTGTAAAAATAAGGAAAGGGAAATAAATACAATAGAATAAAAATATGAAACAAACTGTGCTTTAGGCATTTTTACTGTAAGAAAAACACTTTAGCTACAGCAGTCCTTCAGTCAAGAGCAGAGAGGGATTTTGTCCTTTTGTTGTTTAATTAACGATTAAAACAGTCGGCAGCAGGGATATTGCGCGCTGTCACTTAAAGAGCAGTCCCGTTCTGTTTATGGTTTCTCTTTCACGTGTCTTTTGATTCTCAACTTGTTTGTTTATTACACAAATGAGGGTTAATATGAATAAACCACTAAACACCGCGCTTTGACACCTATTTGACCATTAAAGTGCTCATATTAAAGGTGCAGTAGATGATCTTCCACAATGCTAACAGCTTAGCATAAATCTCTGAATCACAGTTCCTCCCCTGCCGTCTAGAGCCACGCCTCCTTAAACATGAGAACAGCAAAAGAAGAACCCTCTCTCGTGTGTTAAAAGCGACTAGTGCTCGTCCGGCAACAGGCAAGCCAAACTGACATACTATTTCAGAGTGAATATTTAGAGCTGCATGGTAAACAATATAGGGAGAGGCTAGGTGGATTAGCGCTATTTACTTGTGTTTTGTTGTTAAACTGATTAAAATCTACATTATCGATGCTGTAAAAGGACCTTATGAAACTTTAAAAAGTCCTATCAATCTTTCATCGGAAGATTTTAGTGGTTGAACAACACTTCTGTTGAAGATATAACCCGTTTGTAACAACAACATCTAACGTTACATCAGCTTTGCGTAAAGCTAAAACTAGAACATTACCCGTCTAAGAAAAATCCTTGGTAACACTTTACAATAAGGTTCATTAGTTAATGCATTTACTAACATGAAGTAATCATGAACAACACATGTACAGCATTTATTAACCCAACCTAAACATTTACTAATGCATAACATCCAAGTCCATGCTTGTTAAGATTAGTTAATGCACCATGAGTTAACATGAACTAACAATGAACTACTGTATTTTCATTAACTAAAGTTAACTAGCACGAACAAATACAGTAGTAGATGTGTTGTTCATTGTTTGTTCATCTTAGTAAATGCATTAATTAACATTAACTAATAAACCTTATTGTAAAGTGTGACCAAATCCTTCAGCCATTGTTTCATCCTTTCTCCAGCATGCAAAAGTAACTCCAATATCGATTCAGGTTTTTAAAGCTTTGATTCAGCAGTTATTTACCGATCTTGCGCTTGCTTGCTCTCGTGAACTTGCAGCACCAACAGCGGTCGGCGGAGCTGCGTACAAACGGCTGCGCAGTTGTTCAAATCTGCATTTGCTGACAGACAGTTTGGCCTACTTATCGGAATTATTAGAGATTTCGGTCCGACTCTATTTAATTGGATGAACATTTTTTTTGTTTTATGCCTTACCCAAAATACATTTAGATCATTTACTTTAATCATCACTATTAGACTGTGAAGAGACTTTCAACCAGCACAACAACAAATGCTTCTGAAGACAATCACCTACTGCACCTTTAAGAAGACGTTAGATGTGTGTGCTCTGCTCGTCTCTGAGGCTGAGCACGCGCACACACACAACAGCATGCGGTCTCATTCGAGCTTTTAAATACATGAATGATCGAATGAACATCGATGAACGATGCGCATCCCGTGCTGCAAACGTTACATTACAGTACATGCTTTTAGTGATGTGAAACTGAGCTTTGCAGAGCAACAAATGCGTACAACTAGAAAGGGGGCGGTATATGATGCAATAATCATTTTATCTTGATTACTGTTTTTTCATAATCGTTAGAAGCCGAAATCGAATTTTGGATTAATTGTAGAGCCCTAATAACAACGTGCATCAATGAAAATGGAGCACTATTGCAAAACAATCTTCAAAATTCAATGATCAGAACACTATCATTCTTCAAACTGAAAGAACTAAGGTTTAAGTAAGAGCATTAGATTACTCACCAGCTTCAGGTAAGATCCGCAGGTCTCCGTCTTTGTAGTCGTCCCAGAGCTGGTACATGTACAGGACGGGGTCTTTCTCGTATGTGATGTAGTACCAGTTGGTCATGATGGGCGCTCGGGACAGGACCATCCCTCGCCACTCGTTCTTCTCTCCGTCCTCCTTCTCAAACAGATGCTCCACCGCTTTGCCCACCAGCTCCTCTGCGTCATGAGGAACCTTGATCTTATTGTTTACTTGGAAGATAGTAAAAAGAAAGCAAGATTACTGAAAGCAGATTATTAAACGGATAAACACATCTCATTGGTTCGGATCACATTATCGCAACAAATTTGGGATTAATCTACATGTATAGAAATCTTTTTGTAATTTAAGTTAACAGTAGGGTTGGGTACAGAAACGCGACGCCATTATAGCACCGGTACCTTTGTAACCGGTATGTACTAAGGGTGTCACGATCCTCCAAATCTTCGATTCGATTCGATTTTCGATTCTAAAGTCACTGCTCGATTCGATTTTCGATTTAAAAAATAAAAATGAAACAAAATCATAAACAAATAATACAGTAAATGAATAAAGATAAGTTACACACATAATTGCCACGTGTCAATCACTTTTTCCGCGGGACTCGTGAATAGGCAGCGATCTGTGTCCTTATAATAGTGTCGGTAAAAAAGGTGCACAATCAACAGGAACCAGCCAACAGTATCTGAGATGTTCGCTAAAATTACCAAGTACAAGCGTGAAAGTGAAAGACTGAAGCAGTCTACTGAACCGCCGACTGCCTGGACTCCCTGTCTCGAGCGCAGGACAATGTGTGTGCATCTGTGCGTGTGTGTGTGGTCACGTGATGTGCGTTTTCAGCAGTAGTGAGTAGGGAGGGCTGCTCAGAAATGCAAAACGCCACTGTGGATGTGGATCGTTATAAAATGCCGTTTAAAAACTAAGACCTATTAGTGTAAACAGGGCCTGAGTGTGTATTTTTCGAGAGCGGATCTGCAATGGGGGCGGGGCGGAAGATCGCGATGCCAGTGTTGTCTATTGGCCTAACACTAATACTTACACAGCAGAGCTTGCAAAGTTTTTTTTTTTTCAACAACACGAAAGTTGTCAACATAACTCACTGGAAATCTAAAATACTTCCACACCGGCGACTTCATTGAAAGAGGAGAGGGTTTAAGTTCTGTCGACGAGTCTCCTGCGTCTGCGTGTTTTTTTCCGCTTGGCAAGCGTGACATAGGGGCGAGGCAGCATCTACGATTCCATATTTTGATTCGATAATTGAAATTGAGCATGAATTTGGATCGATTTCGATTTAAAATCGTGACTCTTAGTATGTACCGGATCAAATCAGCATATGAATTTCGGTGCCTTATTTTGGTGCCACTGGTGCTGTGACAAAGGACGTAAGGAGCATCAAAGGGGTGCATCAAAGGCACAAATAGGTACTCGTTGTCACACCAGATGTAAACATTTAATTTTAAACAACGCATTTGGTGAGCGTGGGCGACACTCTTCAGATCAACACGCATGATCGCATTCATCAAGCTTGCTTAAACTAAGATTTTAAAGCGGATTTTACAAGCAAGAATTGCAACACAGCAACGTGCGCACTTGCTCTCTCTGTCAGTGAGGGTGCCGCACATTAGTTCCCTGCATTTGCCAGAGGCTGATCCCCAATTTGACACAGGTAATAGCGATTTTAACACTTTTAATATAGGAAGTCCTCGGCTAGGCAGAGACTATTATTAATCAGAAATCAAGTGTACATAGTTTTATGTTAGGAAATGAATTTACAAACAGTCGACAAGTAGCAAGGAACAGATGTAACACAGTGATCAAATGTAGTTTTCAGTCACGCTCATGTAAGTCATATTCAACTCGTTTAGTTTTGTCTTCATTCATTTTTGATTTCCGTCTTCAACACAGGATTTATTTACAACACATTTTTAAACATAATAGTTTAACTAACTCATTTCTAATATCTACTGTTTTATCTTCCGCATGCTGACAGTCAGTGCAGAACATTTTACTAGTTATTTTGCAAGACAGTTGTATTCAGACAAAGTCCCTTTAAGTATTTTATAGTCTTTTATTCAGATTAAGGTGTAATTTAAAGACTTAATCAGTTAACTACGAAAGTTGAAATTATTAGTCAAATTATTTTTGAAACTGATTTGTTGTTTATATCAAAAAACATACAGTAAATATTTCTTGAGGAGGCTAATAATACCAACCTTAATTTTTTTATATTAAAAACTGCTTTTATTCAAGAAATAAACAATAAGAAATATGACTTATTATGACGCCAGAATAATATTTTTTTTTTTAGGAAACACTGTGAAAATTTTCAAAATCATTATTTTAAATGAATGGGAGGCTAAATAAATTGACGTCAACTGTAGGCCTATCTGTTAAAGTTTACAGGTGCAACAACGTACCTTGATGTACTTGAATGTTAGAAATGTGATCTCCTACACCAGTACAAAGTTACTTGTCAAATAAATAAACACGGAAGATTATTTTGAGTTTAAGGTGTTTAACTATCTTGTTTATGAAGACTGCAGAGGGATGCATGAAAAAAAATGACTTTGAATAATTCGAATAAGTATTTTGTGATATATGTTACAATGTGCCCCCAAAAGTACAAGTGGCCCCTGCCCGCAAATGATCAAAGGAAATGTATTAATGTAATTCAAATATATAAAATATGAATGGATGTTTACTATAAACTTAAATTATTGTTCTATTAAAATTATTTGTCATCCACCATAATATTGTGGCTTAAAAGTATCGATTCAGGCACCGTTTGGGCACGGTACCATTTTAAAAGTATCGATTTAGCACCATTATCGAAATAAACCCAAACGATACCCAACCCTAGTTAACAGTGATCCACACAGAATATGGATCGACTAAAATCTCTTTTGCCCCTTCATACACCCCCACACTCTCCTCATAACTTACACTCCCCATAAACACTGTGACTGCATTATTTATTCATTAATATCTGCACAATTAAAATTGCACATATTCATCTTGAATTGTACATACTCACTGTACATATACATTTGTAATTATGTTCATAACTATCAGCATACCCTGATTGTTAATAGCAACCTGTACATATATTCAGCTATTGTAAATCTCTGTTCATAGCTAATACAACCTACATATAATGCTCATGATACATCCATCTGTAAATATGACCATCGTTTTTTTTTTATAAATGCACTTTTTAATATATACCTGAATCCTGCACTTGCTGCTATTGGACTCCTGCTTAGACCTAAACTGCATTTCGTTGCCTTGTAGTTGTACATGTGTAATCAATGACAATACAGTTGAATCTAACCTAATATATTCTAATCTAATCTAAAAATGTTATGAATGTACCATATTTTTTTTTTATTTTGAAAACTCTCTTGTTTTTTGAAGAGAGAAAAAAACTTTAAAAAATTCAAATTATCTGTACAAATATTGCGATATTTTCATTTTACATCAGTATTATTTACAATTTCCTGGTTAAAGAAGAAAAAAAAAACAATCAAGCAGAACAATTCCACTCCCACTATTGCATATGCATCTTTTTCTAGATGCAACCCACATTTGCTTTCCATGCTGTGCAATAGGGCTGCACGATATTGGAAAAATCTGACATTGCGATATTTTTTTCTGCGATTTACATTGCGATTTATAAATATAATTTCACCAGATAACTTGAAGAGAAAGAATTCATCAATTTAGATTGATTGAGATGTTTAATTAAATGATTATGCATTTCATTCATTCATTTTCTTTTCGGCTTAGTCACTTTGTTAATCAGGGGTCGTCACAGTGAGATGAACCGCTAACTTATCCAGCATATGTTTTATGCAGCAGATGCCCTTCCAGCCTCAACCCATCACTGGGAAACACCCAAACACTTCCGATTGTGCATTTCATTTGCATAAAATATAATAAATAATAAGCATATATAAATTAAACAGAGCAAAGATAAAAGTAAAAAAAAAGAAGTGCTTCATGGTTTTAAGGGGAGTCTAAGGGTGCTTTCACACCTAGACTTTTGTTTTTGAACCGGTCTCGTTTGGCATATGTGAATTCAGCAATCGGCTCGAACCCGTATCATAACAACAATCGCTCTGAGATTGCCTGAATGAGGTGGTCTCGGCTCAATTGAAACAAACTCTGGAGTGGATTGATTGTAGTGAGAAAGCGATACGATCCGAGCCCGGCTATATCACAGTGTATCATGGACATGTCATAGGCATATACTGTATACGGCTATATGAAAAGAAAATGATAAGTAGGGCTGGTCATTTTACCAGTAAATGAGCGTTTTATTTCAAAGACGAAAGTGAAAGCGTGCTGAACTATTAACAAGAGCTGTTTATCCGTTAGGAAATCTGACCGACCTGCAGTTTATCTGTTATTTCTCTCTATAATGCGTTTCCTTTAAAGGGTCACAAACACCAAAACACATTTTTTGTCTTTTCAGTCTCCCACACTGCTAAAAACACTATTAAGACACCTATATTTCACTAAAAAGTGTAAATTGGTTGTTTTTGCGTTATTTCAAGCAACTTCGTACTTCCGGTTTGAAACAAATTTTTGAAGCTGCGTCACGGTCATGACATAATAGCGTGTATTCCAGCGTGCAGACTGGACGTCTGTGCCTGAGTGTGTCTTATTACGTCTTACAGTGTGATGCATTAATGCATGAGTAAGGCTTGGTTCAAACCAATCAGCGCGCTCAATTGTGCAACTTCATTAATATTCATTACTGTCACAGTGTTTAGACGACAGAGACGCCACGTTGTGTTGGCAAAACAAGCGTGAAGTGTTGCTTTTATAGTTTGCTGCAGTTAAGTTTTGTTTTCATTTTCTCTCTGTGAGAGCTCTGACTCACGTGTGGATTAACAGTGTACGCGACGCTCGACAACAATAACTTATGTGTCTAAGGAGGAACATTGTTTACCTGAGAGCTGTTCTCACCTGCAAACGCTGAGATCCGGATTCGCTTGTAGTCTCCTCTTAATAAAGACGCGGCTCTAGTTGCTGGTGATTGTCCTGTCTCTACAGATTTGGTAAGTGAGCGACCAGCGCTCTTTGTTTATTCAGTTTGTTCGTATCGAACAAACTATTACACAGAGTGTTAGCACCACAACCAAACTTTAACCTCGTGTAGGATTTTCACCGCATTTAGTGACCGGAATAACACACGTGGCTTTCTGACGCTACCTGCCGTGTGCATCTAAGTTTCCGGGAAATGCGGAGGTTTTTTTTCTCTCATTCGCCGTGCGGTATCAAACATTGCATGAAAAATACACGCTTAGAGCAGATCCTCGAATCAAATATCTCGTCATGAATGAATTCCCTGAATGAAAGAGCCAAACTGCAGTTAAAGTCCAACATTTAATAATTTGGCAAATAATTCGACTACAGATGTCCATGTCAACAGCCACACACCATGCCTCTTTTCTTCCTCCAACAAAGCTGGACATGCCCACTTTTCTGACTTTTTCCAAAGCAGAGGTGTAAAAAAGCACCCTGCTGAAACGAGGGGGTTTCATGGCCCTTTAATGCATAATTCTAGCCAACGGCTATGAATGATAAAGTCTTACCTCAGCTCTATATTTGATGACGTCTGTGGGTGTCACCATTCAAAATTAAAGCGCAGCTTTTCGCTTTTGATGTCTTATTGCTCATAGTCATAAATTAAAATAAGGACACATGACAGCTAAGCGGGACTCTGCAAATAAACCCTGAAACTCTGACCAATGTGAGGAGAGTTTACTCACACGTGACTTGTTTTAGCGTTTTTGGTTCGTTTAGAAACTTTGCCGTGTGAAAGCGAACCGCACCAAGAACAAAGAGCAACAATGTAACAATTAATCCCTGTTTCGGAACAAATGAATCGATTCACAGGTGTGAAAGCACCTGAACAGTGTTCAGGTAGAAACAAAAAACAAAAACAAATGTAAAATGACATGGTCTTCATTGCATAAATCCTTAAAAAAATATAAATTTTTATTAAAACTTATAAACAGTACTGTATTTTTGTGTCTAAATGCATTAAACTTGTAAAACTCTCACAATCAAAAGGTTTAAAACTCTGCAAAATCCACAAACCTCATGTGTTCTTAATTGTGTGACTGATCTATAATCCCAAATCAACATTGCACATCCTGAGATGTGACTATTGTGAATGTGCACATTGCAATATATCGACACTGAAACAATATATTTTGCAGCCCTACTGTGCAACATTGTCATTACTTCTCAATTGTGACAGAGCAAATCTATGCATGTGATATTCAGCCTTCGGCATTTCAACAGCAAACATCATCATAGCAAGATATTTCCCAATTCACTGTCTTTTAGTTTGTGCTTTGCTAGTCAGTTCATTTCCCCTTCCGTCCGCTTTAATGTCATTATGATTACTGGGGAACAGATGTGCACATTATTGCAAAAAAAAAAGAAAAAAAAAGCAGCAGCACCGCAGTATGAGGAAAAACTCGTATACTCGACAAGCCGCCATCTGTGGAGAAAAATCATCCCCTTTAAGGCAGTGAAGAGAGATGATGCACAAAGAGAGAGATGAAATGTGGAAAAATATCTGCAACACTTAAATGTAGGGCTGCACAATATATGAAGAGCTCAGATGCAAAACCCTCTGAATCCATCAGTCCTCTTTTCTTGTAAATGAGCATTTTTAATCAGGCTCCTATAATTAGGTTAAGCAGTTTCATTTTCTATGTATTAAAAAGGTTATTAGCTGGTAAATAAAATAACTCTTGTTTTGTTTTTTATAAATGTCACTTCAGACAATTCTTTGGTTTTTAACAAAGTTGATTTTCTTTTGCCTTTTTTTGCAAAAACCTCTAAATCCACCTATCAGGACAAAACAGTGTTATTAGTTGAAAAATCACTAAATATGTATCTAGAAATTATTTTATCAAACATAAAACACATTACACAAACAACCTGAAGTTAAAAATACATCTGTTAAGTAAGTGGCGGTTCATTCCACTGTGGTTAACCAGAGAAAAAGCAGAAGGAAAATAAATTAATGAAATCTGTCAAGTGTGTTAATCAATAACATTAAAACTGACATTTATTTAATCGTACCTATCTGTTTTCATTTCTGAAATTTGGGATTTAGATTTAATGCAAGTAGAGCAATGTAAACATTGTAAACTAAGCTTGGTAGATTCAAATAATGTGGTTTAAAACATTGTGAAGCATTAATATCTGTGCGTTGTCCATTAATATAAAACGCTTATCAGGCGTATAGGTATTATGACATTATGACGTGATATATATATATATATATATATATATATATATATATATATATATATATATATATATATATATATATATATATATATATATATATATAATACGCACACAAATCTGTATATATAAATATTAGTAAAAATATTTTTTTCTCAAACATATGTAAAAAAACAATAATATTATATGTCAGTCTACTGGCTTCTATAAATAATTCTATTCTACCTAAAATAATTCTGATGTTAAATTATTATGTATGAAATATATGCTTGCAATCTGTCGTTGACAACATTATAAGACCGTTTAATTTACTGGCAGAATAATTTGTCATTATCAGGTTATATTCAACAATATATAGGCAAGAGTAGTTATACTGACACTGTCAACATTTATTTTCATGCACAACTCTGTTCGCTATGAAAAAAAAAATTAATCAAATGCTTGTCGTAATCTTAACTCTAAAATGCGATATGATCATTTAAATG